GTCACTCAAATCACTGGCTTTATTTCACTTACTATGATGACTTCTAGTTCCGTTCGTTTTGTTGCAAAGGTGGGGTTTCATTTCTTAATGGTGGAGTAGAGTTCCATTGTGTATATGACCATGTTTTCTTTATCCATTCATCAGTTAGGTTTAAAAACATTTTATAATCACTCCTGAGGCTTGTCGGTTTGAAAATGTCTTTATTCTAGTCTCACGTTTGGTTGTTTGGGTTGGTAGAGTTTTCCATTTTTGTTGTGGTGGCGGTGGTGCTAGGGCTAGAACTCAGGACCTGATGCTTTTTAGGCAAGTGCGGTGACACTGAGCCAGATCCCCAGCCCAGGCAATGGGGTTGACTAAAATCTTTTCCCCCTCAAAATTGTCAAAATAGCCAATTTTCTGATTGCTTTCAGGCTGCTATTAAGAAGGCAGATAGCATCAGACTTTATGATTCATCAGACTGTGATTTTTTTCTTTACATTTTGTGATGTTCCTATTTATCACTAATCATTTAAAATTTCATGGTGGTGTAAGTACTGAATAGCAGGTCTTTTTCATTCATTGTGTTGGACTTTTCGTTTCATGAATTTCTCAATCTGGAAACTTAGGTTTTTTTTTTTTTTTTTTTTTTTAAATTCTGGAAACTTTCCCTACATTATTTCATTATTCATTATCCCTACATTATTTCTACCTCTTTATTTTTTGTTTTGTTTTTTTCTTTTTGTAGCTCTTTGTCAATTTGTTTTACTCTCAAAGAGATTTTTTCAACTCTATCTTACAAGCATCTATTAAATTTTAATTCATCTTTTAATGTTTTTAATTTCTAAGAGCTCTATTTGTCCTTCAATTCCTTTCTTTTCTTCTCTTCTTTCCTCTTGTCTTATTCTCTTTCCCCCTCCCTTCCTTTCCTTGTCTTATTTCATAAATGCAATATTTCTTTTTTTCTCTGAAAGGATAATAATTATAGTTTCTTATTTTCTCTTGTTATTTTCTGCTTCCCGTGAGGGCTGTGTTTTCTCAGAATTTCGTGTTAAAGTGTATTTGTTTACTTTGATCTCTGACCACGTCTTACTGCGAACCTTGTTTAGGGCTAAGACGTATAAGCATGCATGGAATGCCTCCGGAATGAGCAGTCTTTATAATTGTTAGCTTTTCCTACATGAGTGGTAGTTGTGGGGGAGGTTGGTTCACTAAGAATCCCTCAAATCCTTTGCCTCAGGAGCATGTCTGTGTTAAGGTTTAGATCTATCCCCACCCCCATAATCTGATGTGTGTGCCAGGTGACTGGATCCCGTGGTCTCCGTACTCATCCACGGATTCATGCACTGAAGAGTTCAGTAGCCCAGTGTGCTGTTATGAGGTGGGGCCTGGATGGCCCTGGGTCATCCAGGGTGACTGGGGATGTGAACTTAAAGGGTGTGTTCTTGTCGGGGTTCCTTCTTTCTCTCTGCTTCCTGGCTTTTCAGGGCTGAGCACATTTTTCTCTGCGTTTCCTTCTGCCCTTCTGCCATGCAATTTCTGTCTTAGACTCTGTCTATCATGGATTGAAACTGTAAGTCAAATAAACTTCTCCTTGTTTAAACTGTAGGTGTCAGGTATTGTGTCCAGTGGCGGGAACATGACTGACAGTCTAAACTTTTTATTTTTAGTATGATCCTCTCCCTTTCCTTTGTTTCTGAGTTCAAACCTCCCCAGGTTTGATGCAGTCCCTTGGTTTCTGTTTGGCTGAGGGACAGAGATCTCAAAGGCTGTTTCCTATCAGTGTGTAGCACGTCAAGTCATCTGTGTGGTCCTGCTGTTTGGCCACCCTGTCTCTTTCAGAGCTGTAGGATACATCTACTCCCTGGGGTGCTTTGGAGTTCTGTTGAGCAGGTTCTCTCCTGAAGCCTGGTTTCTATGGTCTGCTTCACAGTGAGCACTTCCCCATTGGTCTGTCACTTTCCACAATCTCACTGACATTTCTTAGCTGCTGACGCTCCCTCTCCTGTACTCTACAGCTCCACGGGTTTACATTTCATATTGCCTTAGTGCCATTTTAGAGAGGTTGCAGTGGGAGCAGCTATAAAATTACGCATTTATTCTGCCATGCCTGACCGGAAGCCCAGTGTTTTAATTTCATATTTTTAGGGAGAAAGCATGCATAGATCTGCAAATGAAAAAAAAGTCAATTTTTTTAAAGATGAGGTCATTTCTGTGTGTTGAGCTGATGGTTTTCTTTTTAACCTTTCTTCTATTGTTCATATCTTTCAATGTTGTCTATGCTGAGGTATTATAAACTGTAAAGTAAACATGTATGTAAAAGGATAACATCTACATGTATTAGCAGATTTCATATTGTTGGTATTAGTTTCGCTATAGAGTGTTGTTTTGCAGGTGAATGAAATAGGCCGAGTGTCACAATTTCATGTGGCTTCATGTAACATAACAATGATACAGTGCAGAGCCCAGAGGTGAGGCTGCTGGCGAGTACAGCCAGTGTCCAGATGGGCCAGACTCAAAGTGCCGGTCTGTGAAGAGCGCACAGGCCAAGCCATGTTTCCAGAAGGTTCTCTCGACATGGTCAGGGTCTGTGCTGGTCTCTGTGGACTATTCTTGGGTCTTAGGTTGAAGAGACTCGTGTGCTAACCCGGTTAACAGGATGTCTTAGTCACTTTCTGTCACTGGGACACAATACCCAACACGCCCAATTTAAAAGAGGAGAGGTTTATTTTGACTCGCATTTTCATTTTGAGGCTGGAAGGGCACGGTGGAAGGGCCTGGGCCAAAGAAATTGCAACAGGGCCAGTGGCCATAGATGGAAACTTTTGAAATAGCCAAAGTAAACCTTTTTCTTAAAGTTCATTTATCTCAGTTATTTGTTATAGAAAAGGAGAGCTAACCCATTGTACCACAGTGTTTTTCATGTAAAAATTCATACGATAAAGTGCCCACAAGCAAATGGCTTGTTTTTATTCTAGGAATACAGTAGAAAGTGTGCTAAACTAGCTACTAGGAAGCCCAGAGCCATAATTGTGCCACAGTTTTAAGCAGTGCCCTCTTGAAATCTCCACTTAAATGTCTTATGGTCTTTGCATTAGTTTCCTGCTGTTTCTGTTACAAATTACTAATTTAGTGACTTATAATAACAAGAATTTATTATCTTACACTCTGGTAATCAGAAGTTCAAAATCAGTTTCAGTGGGCTGAAATTCATTGATTGTCAGGCTTTTTTCTGTTTCTACCAGAGGTCTAGGGGTGAGTTGAGATTCTGGATAGTTTCTATACATATATTTTTTCTGTTTTGAAGAAGTGAACCTATCTTTTTGTCTTTTCCAGTGCTGAGAGACTGGTTGCCCTCACTGGCTGTGGCTCCTTCCTCTGTCTTTGGGGCCAGCAGTGTAGCAAGTTCTCTCCCTTGTGATTCCTGTTTTCATCCTTAAACTTTACTCTCTGATTCTGATCTTCTTGCCCTTTCTTATTACAAAGGCCCTGAGGATTACACTATTCCCACTCAGGTAATCCAGGAAAATTTCCCCACCTCTGCATTCCTAATTTATTCACATGTGCAAAATCCCTTTGGACCATGTGAGATAATATAGATGTAGGTTCTGGGGTTAGACATGGATGTTTTTTGAGTGGATTATTATCCAGTTGATCATATTCTATTCAATATGTACTGTATGAAATTCAAATTTTGGTTCTCTTAATCTAACTGTCCCTCTGCCCACCCTCCTGTCCTTCTCTTACCTTCTCTGTCTTAGTGAGCAGCTCTGGCATCTGCTATTTATTCACATCAGGTGCTTGGTTCACACCCTCACACCCCGCAGAGTGGCCAAAGTGATGGTGAAGAGAGTTTAGAGAGGAACAGGGCAGAGCATGGGACTCAGACTCCATGATGAGGAATTTGGGTTTTCTTCAACATAACACAGGAAGTTACTGGAGAATATGAAGCGAGGAAATAGGATGGTTTTCTTTGTGTTTCTTAAAGACTGGTCGATTTGTAGAGAATAGACTACAAAAACACAAGAATTGAAAGGGACAAATTAGGAGGCTTGATGGAAGTAGTTCAGAAAAGAGATAGAGGTGGCTTAGCCAATGGGTGGCAGTGACCACAAAGTGATGCGCAGATTCTGGACACATCTTTGTGCCAGTCAGATTTCTATCACTGTGACAAGATACCTGAGATAAGCAAAAGACAGTTTATTTATCCTGGCTGCTCTGGTCTCCTCTAGGTCTCTACCTCTCCCAAGCCTCGCCTCTGCTTGATGCTCTTCCTCCAACTTTTCTGTGACCGAATCTTTGCTAAGCTTTTGGTCGTAGGTGAAAGGTCTCCTCAGAGAAGCCTTTCTCCAAGCACCATGTAGTGAGAATCCTCTCATCCTGTCTCCACAAAGTTTCCACCACCGCTTCACCCTCTGGTGTGATCTTCCTAGACTTATCCCATTGATGATTACTTAGTTGTTCTTTGTATCATTCATTTTCCCCATCAGACGCTAATTCTCTGAAGGTACATTCTGTCTTGCTCATCACCGTGAGTGTCTCCTTGGGGGGAGGGTGGCATCCAGTAGACTGAATACATTTCTGCAGCATCCTCACCCTAACTTACCTTAACTTCTTGCTTTCACTTTTCATTTGTTCAGATTTTTAAAAAAATTTCTACTGCAGTAAGAGAAAAACAATCCCCACTTTACTCAGGACTCAGTGACTGAGCTACATCTGTCCCTGCTCCCTGTCCAGTGGTGCTGTGTGTCACGGGGAAAGTGGAATTCTACTAGCTGTATCTTCCCAGGACAGGTGGGGATTCACCCCTGAAGGCCAGAATAGACTGTGGGATGTCTAAAAATTAAGGCCGAGATTAAAATTACTTTGCATAATTGTGTAAAAAGTTAATTTTTACCCAATGAGAGCAGGGTGCTTTATTTAATTTAATTTAATTTTTGTTGTTGTCGTTGCTGAGAGAATAATATCATACTGACTGCTTTCTCCTTCTCTCTCTGGCTAAGACTGGAAAGAAGAAAAATTTGGGCAGTGGAATCTGGGGAGCAAGGATAAGGCTCAAAGCTCTTTTGATTATTGAAGATGAATATAGTCCTTGAGAAGAGTAGGGTGTGTGTGTGTGTGTGTGTGTGTGTGCAGGACAGAGATGACCAGAGGGATTACTCTGGAAGAAGGAGGTCCTTAACTCTTCCTCTTCTCCTGAGCTTGGACCCCACAGCATGGCCCATCGAGCATCCTAATTTATTCTGAGGCTCAGAGGTCTTGTTTTTTGGTGAAGTGCCTTTGACCTGTAACCTCTGCAATTCCATTCAGGATCTTAACCTTGGCCCAAGGTACTGAGCACCACTGAAGGATCTAGGCTCTCTATTATCTGGCAACAGCTTGGACTGGCCCCACATTGGTCAGTTCTCCCCAGAACCTCTTCTCTATAGGTGCCATGTGCCTGATTTATACACAAACATGATTTGCCTGATTGTTGCAGTCTGGGCCTGGAATAATTTTAATTAACAGGAAAATGGTCCTCAATACACCGATTAGACCTCTTCAGGTACAACAAGATAAAAGCCTGATAATTTGGATGGAGTACTCTTCTTAAACGTCTACTCTAGGCACAGCAGCCAATGGGAAAGCTGGGCTCTCTCCCACCTGATCCAATGAGTAATTAAGAGAGGGCTTTTTCTTCCCTACCTCTCCTCTCCCTCCACCCCGCTCCCCAACTGGAGCTTAACAGGTTGGTGGTATAATTTGGAGACTTCAAGGGGTATCACAGTGGGAGGTTAGACAAGAACCAGGGCATCTTCTTTTGGCTCCCCAGGCTTGGACCAGCTGGATTTGGAAAGCAGGCAGGTGAGAGGAGGAAGGAGCTCGAAACAGGCGAGGTGGGTGACGGTGTTAAGCAAAGTTTGAGAGGGGCCCATGGCCATGAGTGAGCTGGGTGCACAGAAGGCCAGCGAAGGCGCTGTCTCTCGGCTGCTCAATGTGGTGGAAAGTGAGCTTCAGGCCGGGAGGGAAAAAGGTGACCCCACAGAGAAGCAACTTCAGATCATCCTGGAGGATGCACCCCTGTGGCAGAGATTCAAGGAAGTCACGAATGAAATGATCGTGACCAAGAATGGCAGGTGAGTTTATCAGCCACACTGGTGGGGCTGGGGCGGCTCGGCAAGGGACATGAGACCCCTTGAATATTGAAGAGGCCGCCGCTCTTTACTTGGGCTGGCGGCCGGGTCTGATTAATGCGCAGGACGGTCTCACATGGCTGTCAATTAATTCTCTGAGATCAGCAGAGAAGTGCAAGATGAAGCCAGCTGTCTTACATACATTTGGAGTGGAGAAATTCTGGGAAATTACTGTAAAGAGGGGAGGGCACACCTCGTGGATTGGGAAAATGCACTCAAATGTCAGAAAACAATATTAAATTTTGACTGACTGGCTACCTTGGAGCACACTCACGTCCCTGCTCTGCTCAGATAATGTGAGCGTCAATTCCGCTTGGAAACTGGATGGTTTCCTTCTAAGGGCTGCCAGAAATTTTTGGCTGGTTGAAGATTGGGAGCAAAAGGGCAGATTTAATCTCATTGCCTCTCACTCTGTCTGCTTTCCAGTGTGTCTGGGGTGAGCGTTCATTTGCAGTTGTGTTTGCCATGAAGTGAGAGCCGTTGCGGGAACAGAGAATGAATTCATAGTCTACTGCCTGAGAGAAGTGGCCTTCTTTTTTTTTTTTTCCTTACTGCAACAAAAGGGATTAATGGAAACTGAACTCTTGACATTTCTCAAATTCTATTAAATCTAGTCTGCTAATTGGTTGTCCAGGTAATATTAGAAGGTTGTGCTTCTCGCTTCCTGCAGGTTGACCACGGTGGGTCCCAACGTTCAGCTGATGCTCACGTATCTTTTGGTTCCCAGGGACACCTGAGTACAAACAGCAGGCATTTCCTGCAGGGTGAGTTTGGGCAGGATGCTCCTCAGGATACTCTCAAGGAAATTTTGCTAAGAAAGCAAGCTTAGGCCAGCTGAATTTGTGGTGAAATTTTGACCGGGGACAAAGTGCTCCTGCTCCTGGTGTTTGGCTTTCTGTTTTGAATAGAGCGCAGCACAGGAAGTGCACTATTCCTTGTCCGTCTGGGAGAATTGCAAACTTGAGAGCTGTCAGGTGACACTGAAGTGCTCTGTAAGTGAGAGCTGTAGCTCGAGTGAGGGATTTTCATAACTTATGGTTAGACTGGTAGTAGGATTCTCAACCTGGCTGGATATTTATATTTTTCTCTTTAACTGGGTCCTGTACTTACATTGTATAGAAGATTTATTGCTTGTAATATTTATCATTATAATTATGTGTGTTCCTTCTGCTTGAGCTGTATTTACACATCACTTTTTGCCCCTTTGGTAGAAAGAAATGTAAAACATGTCTTTAATTTCTTTCTTGTTTTTTAGTTTTATTTAAGGAGAAAAAAAAATGGTACAAGTAATACAGAATTTCAAAAAAAAATAAACAGTAGGAAATTACTAGTTAATAGATTATATATTGTCATCTTAGAAATAGTTGTTCAAGTTACAAAGCATATAAAGTGGACAGTCAAACAGTGAGACTGCAAACAGTTCTGTTCAATGATCTAACAAAAACTCAGTAACATGGATATCTATCTTATACGCTTAAATATACATGCAGTTATATCCTTTAGAGCACTTTCTTTTCCTCTCTTTTTTACAATGACAATTGCACATTTTGGGTTTTATTACTCCAATAGTTCTTATTACTTTCATGTCTTTAATTTCAAGGAAAGAAATTCTTTCTTTTTGTGGTACTGGGGACTGAACCCACAGCATTTATGCTTAGCCACGTCTCTAGATCCTCCCTGCTTTCAGACTGGGTCTTGATAAGGTGCTAAATTTAATTGGATTTACTTTCTTTTCTTTCAAGGATGAGTGATGATACAGTTGTTAAAACTTTATTATGTTTGAGCATGAGTAAACTTTCTGTGTATTATTCTTTGTGTTTAGAAATTATGTTACTACCTAGCCTCATGCTGTCTATTTGCCTGTCAAAGTGGCTGTGTATTATGATGAAATAAGTAAAATCACCAATTAAAAGTACATGTTATCAATTTCAACAAGGAAAAAGTAAAAACAAAATCTTCCAATACATTCTAAACCCAGCTTAATACTAAGTTAGATCAGAATGCACTTTTACTACTTAAAAAGTGTTTCTCCCCATTTACCATCTAAATAAAAAAAAATTCCCCATACTTAAAATTTTTTGCATTTAAAATAACTTTATGTGAACTATGTGAAAAACATTTCCTGTGGAAACAGTATAATTGGGGTCAAATTTGCTCTTGGTATCTATGGCTGTCTTCCCTTCCTCCAAATGAAATTCCTCGTTTCCCCCAGAACAAGACCTAACCGGAAAATAACCAGTCTTGAGAACTAGAGACCCAAAATGCCAGCCCCCACCAGCTCACCCTTGCCCTTCCTGCCTACAGAAGAGCCAAAGTGAGGCAGGCAGGCCAAGGGTCTGCTTGGGGCTGACAGTTTTGATCTGTACTTTTAAAGATTATTTTCTGATTAGATCTTACTTTAGGGAAACAGGATCTTTTTCTTAAAGGAATCTTTTTTCCTGAAACCCTTAGGATCAGTATTTTGCCAGAAGATTAAAAAGTTCCACTCATCACTTGGATGGAGAGGGGAGACAAGTCCGTACGCAATGGATGCAGTTAATGATGAGTGAGCTCAGTCTGGAATTCAGTCTCCTTGGTTTCTCAGATTAAGCCATAGTAGTACTGTATTGCTCTTGAGGATGACATTGCTTCCTTAGTCCATCCTTACTCTCCTCGTATTCCCTGTCACCTTCTCACCCATCCCCTCCATCCTGGGATCTGCGGTGTCCACTGCAAACCCCCTCTCCATGCCCAGCCTGAGCCACACCGGAGCTTGCAGGCCCTCTCGGCCAAGAAGACCGAAGCCAGCCCACTCTCTCCCATTCCCATGGCCTGCCTGGCCCTTTAGGCCTATGATTTTATTATTATTATTGTTAAGATTATTGATGCATTTTAGGTATATATGATCACATTCATCACAGGGAATTTGTGCCTGTACATGATGGATATCTTGATCCTTTTTTCTTTCTTCCCATTCCCCTATCTTCCCTTTAACCCTCCTTATTTAAAAAAGATTTATCTCCATTTTCCCTCCTTCTTAGGCCTCATGGCTTTTTGAGTTTTCTCAGAAGTTTCAGTTGGCGTAAGCAGGTACTGGCGTGTGTGTTTGCTGGCTTGTTGTGCTGAGTAGCAGCACACCCGGAAGTCATGGGATGAGCCGGTGAGAGTTAACGTTCATTGTCCAGTGTAGACTCACCTCCAGGTATGTAAACAGGACGGGTCTCTCCAGCACTGGTCAGCAGCAGTGCAGAGGGCTCTCACTGGAGAACTCTTCATCCTCCAAAACTGGGGTCCTGATGGAGGCCTTAGCTCCTCCCCACTCCCCCCTCCCTCCGTCTTTTCCTTCCTTCGCTCAAACCTCCTGGTCTTCTACTCTCCTGCCCCCTTTTGAAACCGGGTCTCTCTATTGTCTCTGGTGCTCAGGCTGGCTGGAACGCGCAATGTTCCTGCTGAGGCCTCCCAAGTAGCTGGAATTACAGGTCCTCATCCCCTGCTTAGCCTTTCCTTCACCTCTTCCTTTAACTTAAAAATTTCAGCTTCATTTTTTTATTAGTACGTGTCATACCCATTGATCCCATTGGTCATAGGGAGTTTGTACCTGATATCATGTCCCCTTCCATCCCTTCGTGACTTCTTTCGCTCCTCATTTATAAAAGTTTTGTTTCCATTTTTCTTTTCTCTCCCCCTGCCCCATTCCCCTTCCCATTTGAACAAGTTCTTTCTACTTCCCAATATCTGTCTTCTATTTCCTGCCTTTGCATTTCTCACAAGAGAAAGAATGCGATATTTAACTTGTATGTCCAGGCTATTTCACTTACTGTTATGGTCTTAGCTGGGCATGGTGGGACGCGCCTGTAATTCCAGTGCTCAGGAGGCTGAGGTGGGAGAACTGCCATGAGTGTGAAGCCAGCCAGCGCTACACAAGCACGTTCAAGGCTCTCCTGTACTACATAGTGAGACCCTGTCAAAAACAAAACAAGAGATGGTCTCGAAGTGCATCCATTGTCCTACAGATGATTCCAGTTTATCCTTTATGGCAGAGGAGTGCATCACTGTACATGAATACCACGTTTTCTCTATCCATTCATCTTTCATGGGCACACGGGCAAGCGGAGAGCCAGTTTTCCCCGCACCTCTTATTCAAGACGCTGCCTTTCTTCCAGCCAGGTGTTTGGCCCTTTTTTCAAAGATAAGTTAGATGAGTGCACTTGAAGTTGTTTCTGCATCTTCTACTAAAATAACTGAAAATTTTTAATTATTCCCATTCAGTGTTTTTCAGATGTAAGAGTAACAGTTACAGTACCTTCCTAAAGCCCACTGACTTATTCTCAGAGGTTCAGCCTGTATTTTCTTTTATCTCTATCCTTTAAGCTAGGAACTTATACTTGAGCTTGCAGAGAAATACATTTCTGACCACAGAGACTGCTCTCTGATATTTTAAAAACCTATAGCATCTTCACCTGAGGATAAAATGTTTATTTCATGTATATTTTCATCAGTTAAATAATTTTGGTTTGATGAACTTTGCCTTGCGCAGGTTTTAAGACGTGGGCAGTGTTTTCTGATGTACCTGTGGTGCCCATTTCCTGCCATGGGAAAGCACTGGGAGTCCCTGGCTTTGCTGATGTACCTGTGGTGCCCATTTCCTGCCATGGGAAAGCACTGGGAGTCCCTGGCTTTGAGTCCGCTGACAGCTAAGGGTGTTGGTGCAGAGTTGCAGAGCTGAGGCTCCCAGGGCGCCGTGAGCACCACGGGAGGAAAGGTGAGGTGCACACCAGCGAGTTCCCATCCCGGGCATCGCGACCATGGATGTTTTTTTCCTATCACTTTCCAGTTACAACTCAAGAAGGTCAAAAGCGTCAGTGTGATGTGCTTCTGACCAGGGCGCTTCCACCCCGCAGGCTACTCTCCTTCTCCCTCTTTGATTTACTTTTAAGTGGTGCCTGCAGCTACGCTTATGCCTGCTCCCTTTCACCCGTGTTCACACCCACGTGTTACACATTTCACAAACACATGTGGTGTGACTGGAAGCTACTGTGAACCTTTCAGTTAAAAAATGATCATAAGAGACACACTTCCATGAATCCTCTTTAAAATATTCTCCCTCACTTCAAACATACTGGTCCTGTCCTTCTTGCCACTTTCTGAAGCCACCATATAAACACCACGCATTTCCTCATACTCTGAGCCCCCACCCCCATCTCTGAAAGCTCCGTCAGTGTTTGATGGCAGCTGTACTTTTCCTGGGAAGTGGAGTGTTTAAAGTGAAACTTCTTGGATTTTGCTTTTACCTTTTCTTCTTCCCCTCCCTACAACATCTGCTGCACAGCTGCCCTCTTTCTCCCTGAATACCTCACTTCCCAGGGTCTCCTCTAGCAAGGCTCCCAAGATTCCTTGTCTCTGTAATAAAACTGGACAGTTAGTCTCACAGCAAACCAAGCTTGTTCGGAAAACTCAACCACTTGTGGCTCTTCGAACACACCTGTTTGGGAAGGAACTGTTCCTCTTCCCTGTTTTCATTTCTCTCTCCCTCCCTTCCTACCTCCTGACCTCCCCTACCTTCTTTCTCTCTAAGACTTTCTTTCAAGGCTGGGTGAAATGAAGCTTGTCTGGGTTTCCCTGTGGTTAGCCACACTTTGGAGAAGAAAATGGGGGAAAATCAAGTTGACTAGAAGTGTAGTTGTTCTGTCCAAAGCCTGGCCCTGAGCAGTGACCACTGGTAAATAGACAAATCATCCTTAGACAATGTGTCAAGGTCACTGTGGGATGAGACGGGGTGGGGGGATGTACAGCAGGAGGAGATGAACTTGGTTTTGGGCTCACCCAGTCCCAGTTCCTTGGCAAGTTTACAGGCTTTTATTGATTCTTCATTGGCATAATGAATATTAAAAAGTACATGGCATCTCTTAGTTCATTCATGTAGTGATTAAAAAAACAAGAACAATTAAGTTCTTGGCAGATGGACTTCCAAAGGACATAATGCCGTTAGCTGTCTTTCTATTTTTCAGATATGTTCTCTTCCAGGAGACAGAACACTGACTTTTTTGCTTTTATTAATACCATTAATGTAACATAATTCGCATCATGTCACGAGTAATGGTTCTTAGTGTCTTCACAGAGTTATGCGTCCATCTCCATGATTAATTTTAGAATATTCTCATTACCCCACAAAGGAGCACTGCCTCCCTTAACCAGTCTCTCCCTACCCCAGAACTTCTCACCTGCTTTCTGTATCTATTCTGTTCACTTCATCTCAGGGGGATCACATAATGTGTGACCCTTTGTGAGTCACCTTTCCACTTAGTATAATATTTTCTAGGTCCACCCATATTGCAGTGTGTCTCAGGACTTCATTATGTTTTTGTGGCTGAATGATATTCCATCAAGCGAGTCTAGCACATTTTGTATCTATCAGTTTGTCAGTTTTCTGCCTCTTGACTATTATGAATATTTGTGTGTGTGTTACTAGGGACTGAGCCTAGGGCTTTCACACTGAGCCACATCTCCAACTCCTTTTAATTCTTTTATTTTGAGACAAGCTCTCACCATGTCACTAAGTTGCCTGGGCTGGGCTTCAACTTTCAGTCCTCTTAGCTCATCCTCTCACAGTGCTAGGATTCTAGGCTTGGGCCACCATGCTTGGCAGTCTACAAATTTCTGTATGGGCCTGTATTTTCATTTTTCCTATGTACCTGTCTAGGAGTGGAATTTCAGGGTCAGTACTCTGTTTAATAAGATGAGGAACTGCCAGGCTGTTTGAAGGAGAGTGCACCACTTTCCATTCCCACACAGCAAGGTTTGAGCGTCCTAATGGCTCTATATCCTCGCCAGCACTTGGTATTGTCTGGCTTTTCTCTGATAGCCATCCTGCATGCTGTGAAGTGGCACTCACTGCAGTTTCCGTTTGTGTTTTTCTGATTCTAGTGATGTTGAACATCTTTTCAGGTGGTGTTGGCTTCTTTAAAACATACAGTGTCAGCAGGATGTGGGAGAGCACAGCTGTGGTCCCAGTTCTCCGCTGGCCATGTCTCGGTTTCTCTGCAGACCCGCAGCCTGCTGCGTGTGCCATTCCTTTTGCCTGTAAGCACAGCCAGCATGAAATTTCTTCTTATTTAGGTCTGAGCTCCGTGTCGTTCCCTGACTTTTGTCTGTTCTGCTCTGCTCACGTAGCTCCTCTCTGTGACATCACCTGTCTTGATTCCTAACGAAAGAGTTCTTGCACTCTTGCAAACTAAAATGGTCTTATAAACTGGGCATAATGGTGCACTATCCTCCTAGCTCTGTAAGAGGCTGAGATAGGAAGAATGAAACTTTGAGACTAGCTTGGCTGCTTATTAGTGAGACTCTGCCTTAAAATAAAAGATAGAAAGGGCTGGGGTTGTAGCTCAGAGTGAAGGCCATGGTACAATCCCCAGCACACACAGATACACACACACACACACACACACACACACACACACAAACTATTTTATACATCAACAACAATTCATTTACATTTTTGTTGTATGATTTCTTTGTTGGAATGCCGGCTTCATGGGCAAGAAGACACTGGACTTGTGATCATTTTAGTCATCATAGAAAAATTTCTGACAATAGAGCAAGCACTAAAAAATCCATCTTTAAATGAGTAAATGGATCTCCAGGTAGTGAGATTTGGGAAAACATGGAAGGAACTTTTCCTTTTGCTGTGGCCCAACTATATTAACTTCCTAGAAGTTTCAAACAGGAGACAAAAAAAATATGGTGACTGTAATAGAAGATGAGGCACTAGGGCAGAGAAAGTCAGCATGTGCTTGTTCTGCCTGAGTCTCAGTGTCCTCATCTGTGAAATGGGTATACTGGTATCTGCCTCCTTGGGAGAAAGTATGATTTAAATGAGGTGTGACATATGCCAAGTCCTAGGTACAGAATAAAAGGGTTACCATAGAAAAACTGTTTTGCATTAAACCATCTCTTAGCTATGAAGTCAGAGCCATATGAAATTTGCCAGCACTTGTGTCATGAAGACCCCAATCTTGCTATTGTCGTGAGCAGTCACATTGGCATGCTGGCAGCTTCTTGCCTGGGGAACAGGCATGTTTTTGTAGCTTCCTTTGTAAAAGTTTAAATGCACTACATGTTTTCATGGAGAAAACTTTTGATGCTTTTAAGCTTATGTGTACATGGCAATTATATCTGGGTAGCTGTTGTGTTTTTGCAAAGTAAAATAACAATGGAGTAACTTTTTAACAGTTTAGAATAAACATGAGGCTGAAAACAAGCACCGCTTCCCTGAGTGCTGCCTAGAAACAAGCCAGGCACCAGGCCACCAAGATGAGCCCAGGCTATCTCTGTGACGGTTTCTGATGGCTGCATTTTGACTGCAAAAGGTGCTGCTTTGTCCAGAGGTTTTCTGTTGCCTTACATTTGGCTAATATTATTAACATAATTGAAAATGCTAAAATATGCAGCAGAAGGAAATAGTCTCACATGAAACAATGAGAAAACAATACAGAAAAATCCTTCTGTTGAAAAAGAATGGCAGCAAAATCCAAGAGGAGATTTGTGTTAGAGACACAGCCTCCCTAGGGACCGGAGTCACTTAGTTCCCTTACAGATCCTGTCCCGTCTGTAGGGAAGGAAATGTAGAGGGATGCCGCTCTCAGCTGGGACTTGAATCTGGAAGGAATCAGCAGGTGCAGATTTTCTCCTGGAAATTTCATTCAGTTCACAGACGTGGCCTACTCTGTTTAAACTGCTTTTCTCTCTTGGAACGCATTGAGATTGTTTCATAAAGTTGTTGAAAGAACTCGGTGAGTTAATTCTTCTAAGATGCTGTAGCCTGACACCTGAAAAGTGCTCTGTAGGTGTTGGTGGCATCTTGCCCTTCAGATGGCCAGCCTGCTGCTGTCCTGTAGTCTTACCTTAGGCAGTGACTTTGAAAACTCCAAGTTCAAAGCAGGCTGACCTGCCCCTCTCCTGTGTGGCCGGCTGGAGCCACTTACTTCTGCTTTGCTTTCTGGAAGCAGTCTAGGTAGACTAGGGAGTGCCTGCTAATGGCTGGGGTGTTTCTTTTTGGGGTGACAGAATTGAATCAGAAACCAGCTATTTGGAAAGCTCCAAGTATTTGTGCCAAGGACTTATTGGTGCCATTCTAGAGGGTAGCAGAGGATGAATGAGTCCAGATCTGTCTATCTTGAAGTGTGTTTCTTGAACACAAATTCCCACAAAATGCTCAGAGAAAAGCTAGTTACGCTGTCAGGTTTAGGGGATGCAGAATTTCACAGCTTCCCTCCACATGCATGGTGTCCTTTAGTATATGAAAGCCTTGAGAACCCCAGGAGAGAAAGAACTGGCCTGTGGCCTTGGCCCCTGTACTTGTGGGCCTTCCAGGTCATTCCATGGAAGCTCCCCTGACAACCGGCCTCTGGGCTAGGTGTGGAGGTTCTCTAACATCTCACTGGTCACCAAGTTTCTGCCTTTTCTTTTAGACGGATGTTCCCTGTCTTGAAAATTAGTGTCACAGGACTGGACCCCAATGCCATGTACTCTCTCCTGCTGGACTTTGTCCCTACGGACAGTCACCGCTGGAAGTATGTCAATGGGGAGTGGGTGCCCGCGGGCAAGCCAGAGGTCTCCAGCCACAGCTGTGTCTACATCCACCCCGACTCTCCCAACTTCGGGGCCCACTGGATGAAGGCCCCCATCTCCTTCAGCAAAGTGAAGCTGACCAACAAGCTGAATGGAGGTGGGCAGGTACGAGCCACCTCCCCACAGCACCAATCAAGAAATATCAAGGGTGCATTTAGGCAATTAGAGGGGTCCTCACCAACCTCTTCTCCCACAGAAGCCAATTATTCCCTGGAGTCCAAATGTAAACAGGAATAAACAGCTCTTAATTGGTGCTTTCAGTTTTTAATGGACTTCCTGATGTGAAGAGAAAGAGAGAGCTTGCAGTTGTTTACTTAATCATCAGGCCTTTTTTCATAGTTTTGTCTTGTGTGCTTTTTACCAGGCCTCGGAGGGAAATGTTTGTGGGTACCAGGGTTTTGTATGCTCTCTCCCCTTTTCTGGTGTAAGTGGCATGTTGGCAGTAGACAACTACCTTAATAAAAAGCTGCTTCTAAATGAAATAATTACTTCCTCCGCTTGGGCATTATGATAATTATCAATAGAATATTGGATCAACTTTGGTTTTTCAAAAAAAATATCCAAACAGCCCTTAAATAGGTCAGGTTTTATTAAAGGTCTCTAATTGCAGAAAACGTGATGCAGAAGCTCTTTCCCTCGGCCTCGGTGGCAGCGGTGTGGATACCAGTCTCCCATCCAGGTTGTTAGTTTCCTTACAAAATGCAGGCTATTGAGGGATGGGAGGCCTGGCTGGAGAAAGCTCTTGATTCTCTTCTGCATTCCACATATTTGGCTCCTTTGGGACTGTTCTCCCGGCTTCCCTGTTCCCTTGATGCTTAAATGTCAGGGAGAGGCAAAGAATGCCAGGAGTCTGTGATTCCAGAAGGTTCTAGTAGCTCTTTATTAAAACAGAAATTGAAAAGTAAGTTTGTAATTGCCGACCAGACTTCATCACATGAGACTTTCAGTAGCCTTTTGTTTGAATCCTAAAGGGTGGATTGTATCTAACCACTGAGTGTCAGATCCCCTTTAGCCACCAGTGAAAGGCAGCCAGTATTTTGAGTTACTCTTCATGTGAAATAGAACACATGGTCTAATGGATTGAAATACATTGTGTTGAAAACAGGGAAGGACGAAAATGGGAGGCAGAACACAGAGCACTTAGGGAAGCTCCTCTCTGATAACCTGCCTCGACCCCTGCGTTAGCCTCAGCGCTCTGATCTGGGAACTTCTGAAAAATGAGCCTCATTTATTTCTCAGTGGTGTGGAGACAGCCCAGGGGACCTCGGGGTTCACCTGTGTGTCCCTGACAGATAGTTGGGAGCACACCCTGGTGCTGGCGAGTCTGTCACCTGCTATATACCAGGCTTGGCTTGGTTTATCTGTGTCTTCATTCTGTTCTTCAACAGATAATGCTGAACTCTCTGCACAAATATGAACCCCAGGTTCACATAGTACGTGTCGGAGGTGCCCACCGCATGGTAATGAACTGCTCGTTCCCTGAAACCCAGTTCATAGCTGTGACTGCCTATCAGAACGAGGAGGTAAGGGGGTGTGTGCGTGTGCGTGTGTGCACCACTGGCAGAGCATGGCAGAAGGGACAGGGAGATCCTTTACTGCCACAAGTGAGTGTGGATGAAAGATACGTTTCCCAGGACTTAGATACTGTCAGCAGTGGTGAAGTTAAATAACGGGGTAGGTGCTCCTCCCTTCCTCTTCCAGTTTGCCAAAGACCCATTTGTCCAACAGTTTTACATCACTACCACCAATGCCTGATATAATAAACTCAGAGAAAGAAAAGATTTATTTCGACCCTCAGTTTTGCTTCTGGGGCTATGGTGAGGCAGCACGTCCTGACAGGTGCAAAACCACTCACTTTCTGGCCAAGGGGTAGGGAAGAATGAGGATTGGCTGTGTGCAGTGATGCAGGTCTGTGATCCCAGTTACTCAGGAGGCTGAGTGAGGAGGATTGCAAGTTCAAGGCCAACCCGGGGGCACCTTAGTGAGACTCTCAAAAAAAAAAAAAAAAAAAGGCTGGGGCTGTAACTCAGTACACAGAACATGTCCCCACGCCCATATAAAAGAGTGAGGATGGGGTCAGAGCCCCACCTGTTCCTTCTAGAGCCCCCCAGAGAGCAGCAAGCTACATCAATTTGTGCCAGCCTGAGCAATTTAGCAAGACCTTCTCTCCAAACAAAAAAATAAAAAGGTTTGGGGGATAGCTCAGTGTGAATTCCCCAGGTTCAATCCCCAGTTGACACCAAATAAACAAAATTCATATTCTTGCCTCTCTGTGGGCTGGTTTGGGTTAATTCACGACCTCCCTGGGTTCCTAGGTCTGCTGACTGTTAGGAACATCAGGAGAGCATTGGATTCTTTTTGATTAAATTTAAAAACTTAAAGGTAATATGTGTTTACTTAAAAAGAATATGATAGACTAATAGCACAAAAGTATGAAAAGATCTCAGGATCTTGCTGACATAAATATTCTCTTCAATATTTATTTATTCAACAAATATTTGTTGGGTATCTTTCTGGATGCTTGGAAGACTGCGATGGATGAACCCTGTCCTCGAAGCATTTCTATCCCATTGAGGGCAGAGGGAAAACAGTATTCCACATCAGTCTTTGTTCTGTTCTTGTCCCTGTTTCTGTATTTGTCTCTGTGTCAGAGAGCTCTGATGAGAAATGAACAGGCTAAGGTTAAGGGAGCTTAACCTTAACCTTAGCTGCATGAGAGTCGTGATCTGTTCTTTGAATGAATGGTCCAGTGGGTGGTGATTTAAGAGCAAGGGAACCAGTGTCAGACTGTGCTCTCCATCAGGCACGAGATCACAAGTGGACTGCTTTCCACTGTGTTCCAAGTGACAAGAAACGGAGCTAGTCAGTGCTTGGTGATTACTGAAAAAAATAAAAAGTGAATCAAAGACTCAATGCTGGGCTCATACAGGAAGGCTTTGCTCATTTCTAATGCTTTGAAAATTCTTTGCTCACTATACATGCCACTTAGCATCTTCTGGTCTTTTAAAACAGGGTCTCACTTTGTAGTTCAGTATCCTTGGATTCACCATGTGGCCTAGGCTGGCCTCCAACTTGCAGCCATCCTCCCGCCTCAGCCTCTGAGTACTGAGATTACAGGCGTGTGCTGCCCTGCTTGGTGCCACTTATCATTTTCACCATGAGCCATAATAAAATGTCCTTTGCCAGAGATAGTGTCTTAGTGACCTAGTGCAAGAGTAAGTGAAGAAACATGGGGAGAAAGAAAAAAAGGAGAATTTCTATTTTATAGGAATTTTATAGGAATTTCTATTTTATAGAAATTCACAGATGAAGATGTAGGATTCTGTCTGCTCATAAGTGTTGCAGCTCACTAACATTTCTTATCTTTGCAAATGTAAGATCACAGCTCTCAAAATCAAGTACAACCCTTTTGCCAAGGCCTTCTTGGATGCCAAGGAAAGGTGAGTAGAGAAATTTCAGGAAAATCTTATGGCTTGACCTCTGAAGTATGAAATTTATGATTGCTCTAGAAAGGACTAGCCTACTGGTGCTTGCATTGATTTTAATTGAAATCTGATTCAGAATTCAGTTTAATACTCAACAGAATTAACAAAATTATAACCAAATTATAAATGTTGCCAATGACGGTGGTTTGGAACTTGGAGCTGGCAATATTTTGTCAGTCTTGTTTTTCTACAGATTTATGAAAGTCACACAATTACATTAAAAATGGTTTAGACTTTTAAGAATTCCTATCCTTTCTCCATTGCCTCTGAGTAATTTGGATTTAATAACTGTTTTTTTTTTTTTTAAGCCAACACTTAGCCTAGAAAAGGTGAGTTGTGGCAGGAGATTCCTACTTCCCAGGGTGAGGACAGCAGAGACTTCTGGGAGGAAAGCAGAGACTTCTGGGGTATGAATGGTGACCTTACCATTTTGGGCCAGTGACAGCCTTCTCTAGCTTTCTTTCTCATTCTAAGGCAAGATGAAAGATACTGGTGCTTATTGTTGACTTTTTTTTTGAAAAGACTTAGAGTGTAAATATGATTACTTTGTAATGTTTAGACTTTTTTTGCCTGAATTTTGAATCTTTTCACTTATTTTTATAACTCTCTAATCTTTCTTTTTGTCTGAAAGACTCTTAATAGATGTTTGTAAAAAGTTGTCACAGGACTCTGTACTATTCAGTGTTTTAACAAATACAGACAATGTTTACCTAAAATTTTTTGTGTATAACAAAAATTGTAAAGAACAAGTGCATAAATGAGATGAAAGAATCTGGAATCAAAATGATAATAGCATGATATAATATCAGGAGCTCAGAGCTTTGCGTAAGGTGTCCCGAATATGAGTTCTGACTTTGCCATTTCCCAGATGTTTGACCTTACACAAGTCAGTTTTTCTTTGTGAGATCTATTTTGCTAATCTGCAAAGTGGGTGTGGCAGTATTTCCCTTTTGGGTCACTGGTGCACCTAGCATATCACCTTTGCCTCCCAAAGTCCTATGCAAATCTTAGCTATGGTTACTAGTGCTGAATCTTGTCAGGTGGGAGCAATAATCATGGGTTCATAAGATCAAGGTAGAAAGAGGCACCTATAAATGTGGGCCTAAAGGTAACAGTAACTCTTCAGCTCATGGAGGAGTTGCACAAGTAGGAGCTGTCTTGTGGGAAGGTGGTAGCTTTGAGATAAAGTGTCTGGTGTTCTTATTTCACATGATTTATTACTCTCCAGAGAGAACTTGGGGTGTGCTTTATACTGGACTTGTCCAATAAGCTGTGACTTCATTGCTTTTTCAGAAATCACCTAAAAGACATTCCGGAGGCTGTTTCTGAGGGCCAGCGTGTGGCCTATTCTCACTGTGAGTTTGGGGGACCTCCATGGGTGGTGTGTGGGACTCCACCTTCAGACTTTTTACCTTCATAACTGCTAAGGCCTAGACCAAATCAAGACTTCACAAGTTATTTCTTCCTTCCCAGAGTTCCCAGAGACAGCCAATATCATTCCTAGGCTTAAGGGGTTCTAATGCATCTTAGGCAGGAAACAGCACTGATAGTGATTGATTTGGCCTTGTTTTCATGTGAGTGAGGATAAGAGAGCTCAAAAGTGCATTCTGGGCTTTTCTTCTACCTTCACACTCACTGTTCTGGGTTTCCCCCTGCTTGTAGTATTTGCAAATTTTGGCATTGGTTACCATGGCAATGCCTCAGGGATTCTGTGGCTGGCATGTAGGAAGAATCTGCCTTTATCACTTGATAGGCCACAGGGAGAACTGGAGCGGTACTGGGGATTCTGCAGGCAGAGCTGAATGTCCCCAGCAGGTTCCACTTTCTCCATACCTTCCTGGGGGAGGCAGCCCCCTGGAGCTGCAATAGGAGCCCAAGGCCAGTGACATTAGAGGAGCAAGGTTAACCCTGGCATCCGACACTCTCCTTTGTATTGCTAAGATCCCGGCTGCAGTTTTCCAGCTACAGAATTCTTCACTTCCTTCCTCTCCTAATCTTTCATGCATTTTGCATACCAGGAATGGCCATCTAATCACGCGGAGAATCAGCTCTAGAAGAACCCTTTTTAAAGTGACCTGGGAGGACAATCCCCCCTTTTTAGGGTAGGATCACATGCCGAGACACCCCTTCTCTAAGCTCATCTGTTGCAATTTTCTCTGCAGACTTCTTGGGGTTCATACATTGCATGTGGCACAGGAAATGGTTCTGGGACCTCTTGCCTGGTTTTGCCCATTGGACACTTGGATCTTGAGATTCTCAATCAGTTTATGAAAGTCTTAAATGTTCTACTTTCCTTCTTGAAGTTTGATTATTTTAATCTGTGAAATAAACTAACAATAGAGTAATAGAAAAAAAGCATCCCTGTTTATAAATGTGCATCAACAAGAGAGCCATACACAAATGATACTCGAAGCAAGTGCCAGATGATTGCTGGTTAAATAGCATCTTGAAGATGCAGGAAGAGTAGGGTCTTGAGGTTGCTGGTGGCGGGGGAGTCTGTGCTGTGAATTATGGAAGAGTGAGGGAAAGATGTGCTGAGGTCATTAATTATGCAGATGAAGTTGAAAAGACTATGTGACATTGCGTGGAAATCTCTGGGTGGGTCCAGATAAGGCCTATAAGCCCAGCTTCAGACTGCCTGTTGGCATGCAAATCTGCCCGGAGAAAGGCAAGCTTTTCAGAGCTACACCTGTGTTGCAGCCTGAGCAGCCGTCTCATCAAAAGCTGAAGTATATGTTGGGGAACCTTTTTTTTTTTTGGCCCTGGGGACTGAACCCAGGGCCTTCACACTGAACTACTTCCCCAGTGCTTTTGAAAAATTGAAAAATATTTTTTAAAAAGATTTTTATTTTGAGACAGAGTCTTGCTAGTTGCTAACTTACTCATGTTGGACTTGAACTGTAAACCTCTCTGCCTCCTACATCTGGCTGCCCATTTTGATTTCCTTTACCCAGGAGGGACCAGTTTGGTCCTTTGTTTATATTACAATAGGAAAACAAAGATACAAGGGGATTTGTTTGGAATGAATGAAGCCACACTTTGTAACATGAATTCTTTACAGTTTTATCTAAGTAACGACAGTGGGTTCTAACTCCAAGCTCCATTTCTGCATTGCTGAGGTCCAAAGGACCATTCTGTAGCAGTCCTGGTCCTGTCTGACTCGTTCTCTATCACCTCAGCTGACATATGGTAGAAGACCATGTGTCTGGTTTTACCAGTCTGCATTTATATGCCTGCATTACAAACATCAGTCTTTTCCTAGGAGCTTACCTGAAGACTCTTCTGTTCAGAATCGTCACTAATTCCTATGCGATATTTTGTAAGACTTCTAAAACATTCTGCAGAATGTTTTCTGTCAAACTGTGAGGCCAACTCTCTTGTTCTCTGTGCTTTCAAGAAACTTCTTTGTGGGTTGGAGCAGGACAGTCTCACCTGGTATTTCAGACCCCATGATTTGACCTGGCTTTTAGAGATCAACCTGAAACTGCTTTATACATCAGCACCCCAAGATGGGGTATCCCCTCATCATTAGAACCCAGGGGATTGCAAATTTCATGAAATCATCACAGAACCCCGAAACTATTTCTATGATATTAGGGTATAGAATCAGGTAGAAATAGAAGGGCCTTCATTCCTTCTGTGTGACACAGTAAACAGCCCCTAGCTGCTGTGTGTCTGTGAGTCATATGTACATCGAAGGCCTCCTGGCCTGAATTTTACTTCAATTAAGCCAGAAGAAACTTTTGCATTTCTATGAACGCCAGCATTGAGGCTGCTATTTTATGTAGCTGTCTATGTTCTAGTGTTCGTAATAAGTTTCTTGCACTCCACTAAAGGCCTATGTATGGTCCATCTGAAGGTCACCTGCTCAAGGGAAGGGAATCGGCAGCAGGATGGTGGTGGCTGCGGTGGTATCTCTAACTAGGCAGATGTCACAAGCAACAGCTGCACAAGGTAACTGGTCACCTGGCTTTGGTGCAGAAGCCTCTCTGTCTTTCTCTGTCTGTCCTAGTGGGAGGCTGGATCTTCTCCAACCCAGATGGTGTGTGCACAGCAGGAAACGGCAGCTACCAGTATGCAGCCCCTCTGCCTCTGCCTGCCCCCCACACGCACCATGGCTGTGAGCACTATGCTGGCCTCCGAGGACGCCGGCAGGTGCCCTACCCGCCGGCCTATGTGCACAGGAGCCATTCCCCCTCAGGTGTGTGGCTCTGCTAATTAAGCCCTGGGGATGAGCTGGGCTTGCAAGGGGGTGGGGGAGTTGGGAAGAAAGGAACAGCCAGTGAAAAACAGTATCTGAAGACAGAACCCTTTTCATCTAGTACGCATTCACGACATTGTATGGCACTGTTTTCGTTTTATTTCATTGTTATTTATGTACTGCTGTTTGAAGGTCTAGTTGTCATAGTTTCATTGGTTTGTGGTGATTTCTTGAACCATGCAGTCTCCTGGGTTCTAATGATGAGGGTACTCCATCCCAGGGTGCTGGTGTGCAGGGCAGTTGCAGGCTGATCTTCAAAACTGAAGTCTGGAAGCCATGGAATCTGAAATGCCAGCTCACTGTTTACACGTGGCCGTTGCCTACATGGCATTTGTGGCTGGGTTTGAGCATGATTAGAAAGGTTTTGGGAGCCATATCATTGTAGGTTTAGGTCTTAGTTTGATTTTGTGGGAGTAACTCAGCCTTGTAATTTAGGTGGCCTGTTTTTTTTTTCTTTATATAGGTGCTATTATTTGCATGCTTTGTTTCTCAGTTACTGCTGTTTTATCTCCCTTGGCCTTGTGTATGCTCAGTCCTTGCTTGTTTATCAGATTTGTTTAAAAAACCAAAATGACAATAAACAAACAAAAAGCTAAGGGTATATGATATGGTGTATCACATATAAACTTAGTGGTATAGCACTTTCCTGTTATACTTGAAGGCCTGGGTTCAGTAGGGAAAGAGAGAGCGAGAGAGTGAAAGAGTGAGAGAGCGAGAGAGAGAGAGAGAGAGAGAGAGAGACAGACAGACAGACAGAGAGACAGAGAGAGACAGAAAGAGAGAGACAGAGACAGAGAGACAGAGAGACAGAGACAGAGATGCAGAGATAAATTTTTTTTTATTAAAGAATTAATGCAACAACTATTCCTGAGGACCAGGCTTAGTTTGAGGTACATGAGCAAAATGCTCAAATACCCTAATACCCTGCAGATCCTGTTCTAATACAGAGAGATTGATCCTAAATAAAACAAAGCTAAAAAGTTCATGGCATGGGAGATGGTTGGGAGTGCTTAGATTCCAGCTTCCTTCCTTCCTCTGTGGCACCCTGAGCTCTGCATTTGCTCAGGGTCTCCTGGGCCCCTGTTCTTGTGCTCTGCAGGTGGTAGCCTCATGAGAGAGGCCACTCAGAGGCATCTTACTGTATTTGATGCTCTTTCCATCTTTAGCATGCAAAGTGTCTGTCCTGAACACCTGCTGGGGGATAGGGAAGTGATTAAGATGTACGAGGGATGAATGGAAGATACTACGTGAGTTTAAGTTAAAAACACGATGGCTTATAGTGAAAGACACGTTGCCATGAATCCCCCTGAAAACACTCCCTTCACTTCAAGTACACTTACTTATTCCCATCAACCTTGCCACTTTCTGAAGCAGTTCTGAAAGTCCTCTTTTATGAGTGTCTTTAGTTACATTGTGCTGGCTGTGATGTCCTGAACTGATTCAAAACTTTTACTTTTTGATTTTATGGAGGGGTCAGAAGTCCCACAGTGCCAGATCTGGTGAATAAGGTGGTCACGATACGCAGTGATGTTTTTGCAGCCTGTCTTTCTGTTGAATGGCACTCAGCAGCAGTATTCACTGTATTTTATTTTTTATCACATTCCATAAAGGCACTTATGAAAGTGGACTGCCAGAACCACTTTGGAAGGTGTCAAAAAAACCCCCCCAAAACAGAAAGTAAAAAGAAAAAAGAAAAAAGAAAGTGACAATAATGAAGGTTGGGATAAATGTGTTTGAAACAAGGTGGAGTATTTTGAGGGGATTCCTGTCATGTATCTTTTACTGTAATAAATTTAAACATTCACCGTATTTTTCGATTACCCTTGTGGTTCCTTCCCAGGAGGGTCTTGGGGCTACACAAATACATATGTAATTAATCATATCATGCAGAGTGTTCTCTGATGTGGCCTGCAGCACCTCCTGGGAGCTTGTTAGAACCACTGACTCTCGGGCTTTCGTCCTGGACCAGAGGCTGCATTCCCAGGTGACTTAGAGGTACATTAAAGTTAGAGAAATAGTCTAGAGCACACATAAGCCATGGCACTGTGGGAATGAAAAAAGAGCAACTAGATCTGGCTGGTGGGTCAGAGAAGGCTGTGCAGGGGGTCGGTATTTAAACTGAACCTGGAAGGAGGAGTAGAGGGGCAGATGGAGAGGTGCAGGCACCCCAGGTGGAGAGAGTGAAGAGGTGAAGGATGGAAGAGCCTGGGTTTTCTGGGGAACAGATGAAGAACACATGCAGAGGAAGAGGGGTGCCGAAGGATGTGGGAGCTATGACTGCAGAGGAGGCAAGTGCCCCAGGACAGAAACATGACAAGGGCCAGGCATCTTTGTTCAGTCTGTGCTGCTATAACCCAGTACTGGAGATGGAGTGATTTGTAAAGAACAGTTCTGGTGGTGAGGAAGTCTAGCATTTGGTCAGGACCTTCCTGCTGGGTAGTAGGATGGCAGAGGGAGGGAGCTGAATTCATCTTTTTATAGGAAATCTACTCCCATGCACACCCCCAATGCCGTTAATCCACCGCTGGGCTCTTAAGGGTTGCTCCTCTCAATGCTGTTTCCTTGGAGATTTGGTTTCTAGCATGTGAACTTTAGGGACACATTAAAATCCCGGCACCAGGGATGTCCATGGGGACCTTCCTCCTCTCGCTCCCTTTCCTCTTTTCTCTTTCTTTCTTTTTCTCTTCTTCTTTCCTCTTTCTTTTCTCTTTATGTGCACTGTTTGTGCAAATAGAGGTTCAAAGAAATAGGAAATACTATTCCTTTCCCTCCATTTATGTGTATTACGTGGTCTGTCTGTCATCTGTTAATACTATCTATCTATCTATCTATCTATGTGTCATCTATCATCTTACTGAGATTACTACTACCACAAAGCATATCCATTTTCTCATGTAATTCTTTTTTTCTTAGATGAGAGCACTTGAAACTCACTTTCGTAGGGCAATTTCATTCTACAGTACAATGTTATCAGCTATACTCCTCGTGCTGTATACCACATCTCTAGATTTACTCATCCCACACCCAACCTCCTCACTACCTCACCCTCCACTGTTCCACTTTATGCTTCTATGAATTCAGCTTTCCTACATTCCACATACAGGTGAGAGCCTGTGGTCCTTTTTTCCTGTGGGAAGAACCCCTCTTGAGATGTTTAAATCCACTTGGGGATTGTTGGGAGAATCAAGTCCTGGACTTCAGGAGTCTCGGCTGGGGACTGGTGGCTCTCATCTCAGCTTGAGGGGGTGCTGTTATAGCCCATTCTTAGAAGGGAGAGAATGTGGCAGCAGGAGCTGGACAGATCTGGGTCACAGAGAGCCAACCATCCTCCTTGCCTGAGCCTCGAGTGGGAGCTAGAGATGGGAAGGTTTTGTACAGCCTCAGCTCCGAGCAGCACCTGGCCCATGGCTGGCATTCCATGCGCCTAAGCTCCTTTCTCTTTTCCATTTCCCTCCAAAAGAACTATCTAACAGTTGGTGCTTGTAGACCAGCCATTGCTATGTGTTGTCCTGGGATAATGCTGTTGGTCACTGCCTTTATACATTTTGTGTCTTGTCAGTTGAACTGTTGCTATTTTCCTTAAAGTGAACTTGATAGAAAGCTCGAGCAGTAATCTGCAAGTCTTCTCAGGACCTGACAGCTGGAATTCCTTGTCCTCTACTCCCCGCGCCAGCATCCTGTCTGTACCCCACACCAATGGACCAATCAATCCAGGGCCCAGGTAAGATCGCACTAGCAACTTGCTCACAGATGGCTCCGGAGGCTTCCCGTAGTCCCTCCATCGACTGAGTGCCACCTTCCGGGAACTGTATACTCACCTCTTATTTCACCTTCTCCACAGTCGCTAAGGCTGTAAAATTCACTCCGGATCCTGAAGAAACTGAGTCTCAGATGAGCGGACTTGAGGAAGGTTACAGAACTAACAAGTGTCAGAGATGGGATTCAAATCCAGGGCTTCTGACACCAAAATTCCAGTTCTTATTCCTCTCTTGGACAGGGAGAGATTAAACTACAGAAATGTGGTTCAAAAATCTTCCTTTCACTGCCTTATCTACTTTATATGGCCTGGGAGAGTGATGTTACAGGAAAGTGAAATGCTGTGTTTAAAAGCGAGTAACTTGTTCGTGGCAGGGCCAGCCCTGGAATCCAGGTGACAGGGAAGGTAGTTTTATTCTCTCCTGTAATACTGAGTTGCTTCTCTTGGCTTTTCTGCAGGAACAGGGCCTGTGTTGTCTTTGCTAGCAGGACAGAAGCCCCTTTTTTACCATTGCCCTTCTGTGTGCCATGTCCCTGCTTACCTGCTGGCCCTGCTTCCTTAAAGCATCATCAGAATCCTCTCTCCATGTTTCTTGCAGCCCCTACCCATGCCTGTGGACCATCAGCAATGGAGGTGGAGGTCCTGCAGTCTCGGGCCCTGAGATGCATGCCGGTGGCCCTGGGGCCTTTCTCCTCGGAAACCCAGCCGTGACTTCATCCCCCTCAGGACTGCCCACACAGGCACCTGCTTCAGCAGGTGTGGAGGTCCTGGGAGAGCCTGCGCTCACCAGCATTGCGGTGTCCACCTGGACAGCAGTGGCCTCGCATCCTTTCCCAGGCTGGGGTGGCCCGGGTGGGAGTGGGCACCATTCTCCCTCTCCTTTGGACAACTAGGAAGGATCTGAGCCACTCCTATTGGCAGAGGACCCTGGATGTGTGCGGCGCTGAAAACCTCATCTGCTGATCCTAGGGCCTCCAGGGTCAACTTGTCCTGGAAGTCTTTCTGGAGATAGGTCAATGTGAAGGATACTTATCATGGCACTCACGTCTCCCCACCATTTTCCTTTGCACCCCTTTTTCTCTGGGCTTAACCTTGCCATTATTAGGCTATAAAACTCCACCAGATCACTTCTCAGTTCCCTGCCTTTTCCTGCAAGTGGTTGTGGAAAGCTTCCCTTCCTTTTCCCTGGATGTGATGTGAAGCCATGCCCTCAGAGTTCACCCAGCATGGCCACTGCCTCCTGCTTTGCACAGCCCTGGAAAGTGTTTGTGGCCACAGAGTCCAGGCTGGTTTCTGCTCTGGGACCAAGACTGATGCAAGCTTGGAAAGTTGACGAGACGATACAGCTGACCATGTGCTACCGCAGTGTGCCTGGAGCTGAGGGAATGAGGCCACCTCTCTCCCTTGCTCAGACACTTCATTGGCTCCCCATTGCCTTCCCATCTCTTTCCTCTAGAGATTCTGGCTCCCACCCTTTTCCCAGCTTTGGCTCCCCGTCAACCTTTACTTCCCATTTCACTAAAATCATTTGTATTCACTGTCATTTGCCTTCTGGATGCTTCCCCCTGTCCCTGGAATGTCCTCTCTCCCTAGTTTACCAGTGTCTCTACCCACCCGCCAGGGTCCTGCGGGAACAACACTTGTGCATCCTCAGAGCTGGTGAATCCTACCTTTCCCCAGTGCCTGCTCTGCCTATGTATTTGCCCTGTCACAAAGCTTAACTCCTTCTGTTTTGCATTTTTGTTACCCATGAAGTAACACAAGGAGTGTCTGTCTACTAGACTATAAGCTTCTCAAGGAGAAGGCCTGGCCTTCCCATCTTTGTGCCCCTTAGCACTTTGCACTGTGCCTTGTTGTAGGTGCTCAATAAATATTTGCTGAGCTGAATTGGTTTGGGGTGTATGTGTGTGTGTGTGTGTGTGCGTGTGCATGTGCATGTGCATGTGTGTTTTAAGAGGACATATGGCTGGACAGCAGGACTCCAATAATCCCAGAACTTTAGAAGGCTGAAGCAGGAAGATCATGAATTTCAACCCAGCATGGGCATTGTAGCCACTTAGTAAGAGCCTGTCTCAGTAAAAAATAAAGGGCTAGAAATATAGCTCAGTGCAGTGGCCCAGGGTTTTACCCCTACTATATCAGCCAGCACTCACTAGAGAAATAGATTTAATATAGACATATAAATGTATATGGATTTACCAGGTGGGCTTACAATGGCCACCCACAAAGTCAGAGGTGGAAGAGTACAAATGGCTATCTGTGTGCTAGAGATCCAAAGGGTCCTTTCAAAGGTTACAAACCTGGAGCTCACTGTGGAGTTCTGTGCCAGTCCATGTCAGGAGTTTGAAGAGTTTGTGCTGGAAGCCAGAAGATGGACGTCCAAGGAAAAGGCATGGACTGGAGCTCCTCCAAAGAAATCAAAGCCATATTTTCTTCTTTCCCTTTTTATTCCTTTCAGGCTGCAAGCCTATTGGTTGGTGCCACTCACACCCAGGGTGGATCTTCACTCTTTAGTAAATTCTTTCAGCCACACCCAGAACTATGCTAAGCCAATCAGTTGGGTGTTTCTTATTCAAATCGACACAACAGTTAATTATCACACGAGATGGGAGGAGGGGCAGGACAACATGGAGTGAATTCAGAGATGCAGGCCCCATGACATGGCAGCATACCAGTGTGGGAGCCCAGGAGACATGCTGCTGTCACCTTGGTCTGTCATGTGGCACACCTAACTCAGTGATTGATGATGATACAAGGAGATAGGGTATGCTAACGGTGTTATTCCTCACTGTGGCTTCTCAGACCCTCTGACCTGGGATTACTTGGAACGCTTGATAGAAACTCAGATTCCCCAGCACACCTCACACCTGTTGGACCAGAACATTTGGGGCTGACATTCAGGAACCTTATCTCAGATGTGCTTGAGCCTCTGTGCCATCCAAATTTGTTGCTATAATCAATGAACCAAACTACTGTTTCCTCCATCTTGCTTTTCCTTTTCACCGCTACTGGATGTGCTTCTTACCATGGAGGGAGGCTTCCAGACTGGGAGCGCTGAGCAGCTCTCCAAACACTGCTCCCACCACTGTTTCATCAGCCACGCTCATGAAAGGGTACCCCTTTGTTTAAATAAAAATATATAAACAGGAAAAGGCACATTGCTATTTCTCTCCCTCAAACCACTCCTCCTCACTTGGAACAGCTTCACCCCACTGTTCTTGTCATTTTCTGAAGCAGTTCTGGAAGTTCTCTTTCATGAGTGTCATTAGTTGCGGTGTCTTGAATACCTTGATGTTCTGAATTGAATCAAAACATTTACCATTACTTAGTTATACCCCTTCTAGGTATCTTCTAGAGAATTCAAGCCATCACATTGGGTTCTGACCTAGATCTCCAATCTCCCAAATGAGTGCATGGTGGAGATTATATAAAAAGAGACAAATTGTATGGTTTTAGGGCTCCAGGAGGCTCAAAACCCGTTAGTTGGGCTCAAGACTTCGAGGGCTATGCAAAGACTTCTCTGGATCAGCCCACTTTTATTAGAACCAGGGACAAAAATTGGGGAAACTGAGGAAAGCATAGGAAATGAGCAGGACCTTGGGAGTCACTTCAAAGACTTCTCCAAGTAGTAAATTATGCCAATTTTGGAGAACTGTCCTATTTCCAAGTTGACATTTATGGTAGGAGTGAGACTGCAGGAATAATTTCTGCAGCTGCAGTCTTTATCTTGTTAATTGGTGTTGGAGCCAAGTGTTCACAGCTGTGGCCTTATGTTGCCTTTTGAGGTATCTCTAGCCTCACAGGCCACTACAGGCCTCAGCCAGGACCAGTGATTCACAGAGGTTCACTTACTATGAATCAGCTCTCATCACCAGGCAAGGGGCTGAGGCCTAGGACAGACTCACAGATAAACATAGAAAGCCAATTAGTAAAATTTAAATCCTGCTCAGAGCTGCTTCGTAGTGTTCTCCAACACCATCATATTACAATGACACATGCATACCCATATTTATATCAGCACAATTCACAATACCTAAATCTTGGAAGCCAGTCTGTATATCTATCAATAGATGAATGGATAAAGAATATGTGGCATTTTTGCATAGTGGAGTACTTGTATGCCATAAAGAAGGAGAAATTCAAGTTATATATGATCATTTTGTGAAGCAAAATAAATCAGACACAGAAGGTTAAATATCGCATGGTTTCTCATATGGTTGGTGGGAGTGTAGACTGGTGTAACTACTGTAGAAGTCGGTGCAGAGATTCCTCATAAAACTAGGAGCGGAGGTTCCATTTGCCCCAGCTATTCCTCTTTTTGGTAATATATACACTCCCATGTTTAGAGCAGCACAGTTTGTAATAGCTAAATCTTGGAAACATCCCAGATTGATGTACCCCATAAACAGTGGAGAAGGATTCCTTTTCCCCTACACCCCTACTAGCATTTGTTGTTGGCTGGTTTCCTAATAATAACCATTCTTTCTGCAGTGAGATGCAATCTCAGCATGTTTTAATTTGCATCTCTCAGATTACCATTGATGCTGAACATTTTTTTCATGTATTTATTTGCCATTTCTACTTGTTCATCTGACAAGTGTCTAGTCATTTCAGATGCTTATTTTTATAGTAGTTTTATTGCCAGTATTGAGAACCTTTATTAAACAACTACTTCTCAGAGGTGTCTTTCAGGTGTAGCTGGATTTTGGGTTTTGAATCTATTGCAGCACACCACTTCTTCAATTTACTGGAGATGAGAAGTTGCTACCTAGTTGAACCAGTCCCTGGTTTTTTGGCACTACTTTTTATGACCCATAAGCAATTCCAGTCTTAGAATACCTGCAAGAACACTGATTAGAACAATTATGTCACCTTGCCTAAAGTAGTACAACCAGCAATAACAGTAGCATCAAACACAAACTAGAAAACTGTGGTAACTATTAATTTGCCACCTTTAAATGTATGAACTACAAAATCTAAAATGAGCCAGAAAATTGTATGTAGTAAATAAACCCTCAATATCCTAGCTTTATCATCAGTGGGAAAATTTTAAATGGCTTAGGGAGAAAATAGAGAAATAGAAGAAGAGGAAGAGATTAGAAGAATATAGGATAGAGGAAGACATGAAAATTTGGGAAACTGTTGAAGTACATAGGAAGGAAAGAGAGAAGGAAGAAACAAAAACAAGAACTGAAAAGAACGACAAAAAACTAGAAACTATGTTAACATTCGTACAAAAAGACCAAACAGTTTAGAAAAGATGAAATAAAACAAAAAAGAAAAAAATTTTAAAAATGTCCACTTCAAGGTGTGTCTCTACTGTCACTGTAGACAATGTGGGCAGACAGAGTCCAGATCCAAGTTGATTAATCCCAGTAGCTTTATACTGGTAGCGCATGACCCCAGGGATCCTGCCTGCATCTTTAGTTACACTGACGTTTAGGCTGGTTTCTGGCTGTGAAGCTGGAACCAGTGTTATTCAGCCTGTAGCAGTCTGTGTGACTCCTGCAGTTTGATCTCAGCTCCCTGACCTACTGCTGACTTGAACTTGGCAGCCTCATGCTGTCACTGGGAGCCAGTAGGATAGAGCCAGTCTATAGCAATTCTGAGTTCTGAGCTCACTTGGCTCCTCTCCAGGATGGCTATTGGTCAGCTGCCCTGTACTGGGGGACATCTGAACCTGAGTAACTCACAAACCACTGCAGTCTGTTTTGCCCAGGGCTCCATTGCACTGGTATGTCTCTGTGAGTTGTCACCATGCTTCTGTACTTTTAAGCTGCCCGTCTCATGCAATGAGTCCAGGTTCAGAGAGAAAGTGCCACCTGCCGCCTCCTTCTTTGTTGAAGTCTCTCTCTTCATTCTCCCCTTGTGCTTCAATTTTTGCTTCAGATCCTTTCTAGGTCTTGGGGACCCGCTTGTTTTCTTTTCTCTTCCCCACATTGCTACATTCCAGCGTCTAGAACCAGATGTTGGGAAAGCTGTTTCTCTGCCCCTTACCACTTTACCGTCTTTCTGGAAGCCCATAGGTAGGTGTTTGTCACACTCTTATAAACATGGGTGAATATGAGCAAGTTAAATGGATACATTTGTGAAGAATGTGAGTTCAGTTTAATGGAGCTGTGAGTTTTAATGGGAGTAGCGACTGGGGCACTCATGTGGGCTTTATTGCTTTTTCTTTACGTGTTCATCAGATGATGGACATTTGGGATGTTCCTGTTTTTTAACCATTTGTGTGCAAGTCTTTGTGTGAGTCAGATACTATCATTATCCCTGTTTCACAGATGAGGAGAAAGGCTCTGAGGGCTTAACCATGTTTCCAACATGGCACAATTGCTAGGGGGCAGCATTTAGACCTCTCTGATGATAAAGCCACACCCTCCACAACCCCGTACCACACCGGAGCTGGTGGAGTAGGTACATTATTCTGTCAGTGCCTCCTTTGGCATCTGGTTGCATCCACACCAGCTGTCCAGGACTGCTGTGGCAATCATGGGGAGGGTCTGTGCTGTTGCAGTGAGAGGCAGGGAAGGCAGGACAGGGAGACTGCAGTCAGAGCAGTGCCACACGGGGCTCACAGAGTATCAGGGGACTGGCAGCAAATTGCTGATGTTCCAGGAAGGACTAGGTGGTGGGTAAAACAATCGAAGGGATTTCCAGAAACCCTTTAGCATAGATTCTGGGAAAAACTGGATTCCTAAAGTAGTAAAATGTGGGGTTGAGTCCATTATAATTTGGATTATTAGTGAAATGTGCTCTCAAAGCCTAATGTAGCCTGGAAAATATTAATTGTAATTAGAAAAGAGATGATTGATTTTAGGATAGATTTTTTTAAAAAGTGCATTTACTGACATAAAATAAAAATGTGCTGGAGCCAAAATCCTCAGAAG